GAGCTGTGAAAATGTGGAAATGTGGAATAGACTGCCTCTAGAGTTGGTCCTGACCATCTCAATGGATTGCTTTAAAAAAGTCCTGGATTCTTTCTTGGATACACAGAATATAACTGGATACTAACATTTATAGGTAAAGTTGATCCAGGGAATATCCGATTTGCCTCTGGGGGGATCAGGAGGGAATTATTGCAGGAGCAAATTGGATCATGTTTCGTTGGGGGTTTTTTTTGCCTTCCTCTGGATCCACTTTGGGTGTAGGATTATAACTTTTTTTTTTTTTTTAATGGTTGAACTGGATGGACTTTTGTCTTTTTCAGCCAGACTAACTTTGTAACTATGTAACTATGATTTATCTAGCAATAGTAGAGTGAGAGGATGCTTGACCTCTTCACATCAAGTCCATCCTATATCAGGATGTTGTAGCTGAGCGATATGCCCTTAACTGCATCTAAAAAATGTCAAGCCACTACTTTAAATAATAAAGAATTGCACTTTACAAGACAAAGCTGCCTATTCCATTACTCTTCAGGCCAAAATGTTGGCCACCAGAAAGATGGCCTTGCAGGTAAGATCAGAGAGAGAGAGAGAGAGAGAAAGAGAGAGAGAGAGAGAGAGAAAGAGAGAGAGAGAGATGCTACTCACAGGTTCATGACAACACCAGGTTCAGGTCCCATAATGCAAAAAGTTTATGTTTATTATATAACTGAGACTTTTGTTTATTCTGAGAACACAAGACTTGAGCAGAGTAAAAAGAACATTTCTTAGCCCCCAATGTAGAAGCCTTACTTACCAATGGTTTATCCTTTTTTAGGAACAAAAAGGTACTCATACTTCTTACTCGAGCCTGGGGAATGCCTCATGCAGTTTTCCCATATCTCAAGTGCGTGGCATACCATCATAACTGCAATCGAAAACTGTAAAGTGCGTGGCATACCATCATAACTGCAATGGAAAACTATAAAGCTGATCCAATTAAGGAACGAGAAGCCTTCAAATGTGCTGCAAACCTTTTGTCCATGGGGTCTTAAAAACATACCTCATCTACTGGATGACATCTTATTTTGATAATTGTTGGGTCAGCTGCTGGTAAGGCCCATTTTTTGATAAATTTTTCCTCTATGGAGCAGAGCTGTGCAGACCACATAGGAAGAGTAAAAGTCTTTTTTATGTGCCAAATCGTAATAAGGACTATCCTGCCAATGAGAATGCACAGGAAAAGACTTAAAATGTTTAGGAGGATTCAATTACCACAACCACTGTACTAGCTACCTATGCCATTTGGGCTGACTATATGCCTAAGACCTGAATGGAAGACTGAGAAGAGTCTGATATCTCCCCAGAGTCCTCCTCATCTTTTATTTCCTGGTGACTTACCAGGGGAAGACGAATGAGCACACTTACTGCCCTTACTCTCCATACTTACAATAGCTTCCAGCTGCTGCATTTCAGATGATATGGCTGGAGAAAACTGTTGCTTAGGAAAGCTCCTATGAGGCTGTGATCCAGAGGAATCTGTAACAGATCTTGAACTAGGATAAGAGCTCTATGAAAAGATTTGGGTAGCTCGCCTTAAACCATTTAAATCCACCCATATCCAACTGTGTTTTCCCTCCAATATGCTGCACACTTCTGTTGGGTACTTGTAATATCACTAGCTTCTGTCTGGGATACAGCTGTAGTCCTCAACTCTCCTGCAGTACCCTCTGTCTGATTCTGCTGTGCCTGTTTTACTGTGAGTGATTTCCTGTGCACAGATCAAAATGGTGGATGCACCTGCCTGAAACAGGAAGTGCATCATCAGTTCACACCAGAGCTCGACCCACATTGTCATGTTTCAAGAAATTAAATCTTAACTAAACTCCAATGCTCGTCTTCACCTTCCATAAATATGCTCATTACATCCCTCACTGGGCACTGTCATCTTCTCCCTGGGCAATTTCTGGGTGCCAGGTTTTCAGCCTCTTGATTGGCTGGTGAGGAAGGACATCATTTGAAGTGAAACAAAGCCAGAGGGGTGAAATGTGTCTGGGTGTGACTACACAGCAACTGGAAGCTATGTTAAATGCCAGTCCGGCAGTAACATGTCAGAGGACCGAGTGAGATGCTTATGACACTGCCTGTAAACCATCACTGGTGGCTCTGGCGGAGTTTAGGAGTTAAAGACTGAATACAGTATTATGTTATACAAGTCCCCTCTTCTTTCTAATGCATGTTTGTGGAGCTGTAAGAGGAAGAAAATTTGCTGGTATTTTTGAAGGAAGACGGGGGTTCCCACTGTTTACACAAGCATTTCATGGCTATCATTTTCATGAGAGGCATGTGGAGTTGGTGAGTGCCTTATCTGAAGGGAGTGGAAGAACACAATTGTACAGTGGTGATGTGAGAGTTCACTGGGTGGAAGAGGAATTATAACTAAAGTCTGAATAACAGTTATGGATGTTAGTTGGTCTATTTACACAGTATGTGATCACTTTTTTAACATTTGCTTTACACTGCATGATTTATTTTGCTTCCGTATTTGATTTTTTTTAGTTTTTCTTCAATTACAGCATCTCCTCAGATTGGAATATTTATTCTTATTTGATATAAGGTTATTTTTGAATTCATGAGGTGGCTGCAGTTGATTTGGATATATAGAATTTGTTTGCATTTTATGAAGAAAAGTGTGCTTTCTTGGTACAGAGTCTATTTGATTTGTAATTTGAAGTGTACTGGGAATGAACAGCTCGGTGTACATTTAATAGAAGACAGGTGCGTGTTATTGTCTTTTCTGTAATAAATAGCTGCCTGCTGGCAGTTTTTTATGAATTTGGTTTACTTCCTCTTTAACACAGAGGAGAAAAGTGGAGATGTAGATAATAGGAGGGAGAAAACCAACCAAATAGTCTAAAAAAGAGTGCTACAGGTAATAAGCCACTGAACTTGCATATGACCTCTAGTGCATAGGGATTTTTAACTTGCCTGAAAGATGCAGAACTATGGTCTTAATAGAGCTGGCTCAATATTCACCCTCTTCAGTTGGGCTTATCTGACCGTCTTCAGGTAATGGACCTCACCTCAGCAGACCTCTCCCCTGGACCCGTACAACATCCTATAAGTCTCTTCATGTGATGTACCATGGTCAAAGGATCCAGTTCTTTGGCAGCAACTTACAATCTAGGGATGCATCGATACCGTTTTTTTAAATTACCGATTCTTTGCGGTGCTGTTTGCGTTAATTGTGTCAACACAAAGAATAGCATGCAATTTGAACAGGAATGCGATTCATGTCCAAATCGCATGAGGTTTCCACACTGCAAAGCCCAGGTATAAAGTAATTCCTGCAAAAGATTCATCTAGGAATTAATCTTGATATAGACCACCTTGCACAAAAGAATATATTTTATGTATTTAAAAAAAACATATTTGTAAATATTGGAAGACAAGACAAGGTCCATTATCTAAGTACACTTACAAAAAACTGAACCTCCTGGACTGGAAGGGGTTATATACATGGGATAGGGCCAGTTCCCTTTTCACTGTGAATGTCAGTGTTCATTCATTCATTTGAAGGTGGCAGTATATAACCCAACAGTAATTGTTAGAAAGTACCTAGTAGTAATGGTTAAAAAGCTCTGTGTCCTGTGATATATGATAAATAAAAATTGCAGCTTTAATATGCTACCAGATCTATATGTTTTTCTGATACATTCAAATAAAACAAAATGCTCCAGTCACTCATATAAAATGCTACCACTGATGTTGGAACTAAAGCTCTGATGTATGGGAAAAGTTTCTAGAACCATAGGGGGTTATTTACCAAAGCTGTACAGTGCTAAATCTGGTGCAACTCTGCATAGAAACCAATCAGCTTCCAGTTTCATTGCCAAAGCTTAACTAAACAAGCTGAAATTAGAAGCTGATTGGCTACCATGCACCAGATTCTGAGTGTACCAGTTTTAGTAAATCTACACCATTGTCCCTGAATAGCATTTATACACGCAGAAGCACCTACTGTGAATAATCTGGTGGTTCATTGTGAGCATTTTTGTTAAATGCAAAATGTGAAAAAGCTAAAATATATCAATGGAAAAAGAGTATTATTAGTGCATAAAGAGGAGCTGTGGTTGTCCACCATTTTGCTTTGTTAAAAACACGCACAAACACACAACATTTTTTTTCTTTCATTCAATGTGTTTAAGTATATGTAATTTAATTATTCATCGCCTTTGTTAAAAATTACAATAGCTGCACCAACTGTATTATACAAGAGACATCTTTTCAGTCATATTGGTTAAGTAACAATTAAAATGTCATTTTGACTAATGTGTGGGTAGAAAATTTTCCATGGATTTTAAAAGTGCCCAGCAAAAGCAGAATCATCACTTCTTTATGAAGCAAAATTAAGGTAAATTAAAATAGTAAAAGAGAATACAAATCTAAGTAATTAGGGAAAAAAAAAACTTGCGATGTAAAAAAAGCTATACTTACCTTTTTCATGTTTTAAGGAGAACTCCAGTCAGAAATATCAAGATAAAAATGAATAGCCCATCAAAATATAAAATAACAAAAGCAGCTTTTAACCACTTGCCCTCCAGAGGATTTACCCCCCTTCCTGACCAGGCCATTTTTTGCTATACAGTGCTGTGTTACTTTAACTGACAATTACGTGGTCATGCAACGCTGCACCCGAATGAAATTTATGTCTTTTTTGTCCCACAAATAGAGTTTTCTTTCAGTGGTGTTTGATCGTCTCTGTGTTTTTTATTTTTTGTGCTATAAACAAAAATAACAGACAATTTTCAAAGAAAAACAAAAAGTTTGACTTTGCTATAAAACAAATCCAGTAAAAATTTTTAAAAAAATTCAATTTTGTCATAAATTTAGGCCACAATGTATTCTGCAACATGTCTTTGCTAAAAAAAAATCCCAATACATGTAAATTAATTGGTTTACGTGAAAGTTATAACATCTACAAAAGGCGGTATATATACTGGATTTTTTTTTTTCAGTGACTTATAGCAGGATTGTGGCAGGCATTCTGACACTGGGTGGGAACTGACTAACTGCCACTGACATTCCAATGACACTAACACAGTGATCAGTATTGATAAAAAGCACTGACACTGTACTAATGACACTGGGCAGGAAGGGGTTAACATCTGGGGCAATCAAAGGGTTAACTGTGCACTGTGTTGTGTTTTACTGTGTTCTGTGTGTGTTTTACTATGTAAACATGCTACTGTGTATTTCTCTGCTGTGCAGCAGCATGTTACTGCTGGCAGGAGAGAGACCTGTGTTGTTTACACACAGGTCTCTCCCCTGTCACTGTTCCTCACCGATCACCGGGTGCTGGCGGGGAATATCTGGCTGGGACCCGGTGATCGACATCTGTAGCCGCCAATGATGGCAGCGCTGATAGGGGATCGCGCACGCGTGCATGCCCCTTACCCGGAAACGAAAAATCACGTATATATACATGATTTTGCGCAGCCCAGTCACCCTGTAGCAGTAGTTCTCCTATAGGGTGGCATGGAAGCAGTTAATGCAATATTTAGCTTCAATCCAGAGATTTTATTTGCAGTATTTTCCCTGCAGAGTAAATGCCCTCAGTCTGATGGCCATCATTATTCAACCCACTTCCTTTTGAGTCCAGCTCATGCTAAACCTATCCCAACATGTTCCTGGATGGTGAAAGAAGAAACCTCAGAGTGATGAGTTCATCTCTCTGTCACTTTGTTTTCTCTTGCTATCAGCATGCTTCTTGTTAGCATATGATCTGTTTGGCTTCTTGTGCTGCTTCTTTCTCTCACACTGCAGCTTTGCTATACAAAGACTGCAAGAAGCTGATAAAAAAACAGTTTTCAGGAACTTTCAGGTTGCACATTTTCTCTATATAGTCTTGTAGTGTTGTGTAATATCATTTTTAACTGATTTTTATTTGAAAATGCCTTAAAATATCCTTTTAGTAGAATACACTTCCTGACCTCACACAACCAGGGTCACACCGTGACTCTGGGGCCACCAAAGAAAGGGAGGAGGGCACACTGACTACAAAGCACACCATTGCAAAAACTGGGCATGGCTTCAAAGAGCGGCATATTGGGAATGTTTTAGAAGAACACAGTTAAAGTCTGAGCCTGCTCACAGTACATATTGCATGTTTGACACTGTACTAGTATACACAAAATACTACGTAAATAAATTGCCACATTGGTGGGGCAGGCTTGATTCACCTGATTGTCCAAGGGTCCAACAAGGTGACTTAATTCATATGCTCTGGCGTTGCCCCAAGTTACATAGATATTGGGGTGAGGTTCTCCAATTTATTTCGCTAGTATCGCAATATACTGTTCCCCAGGATCCCTTGCAATGTCTGTTGGGGGCACTGGACCAAGAACTGTTCCAACCAGGAGGGTATATTATGACATCTAGACTTTTATATCTGGTTAGGAAGTTGATGGCAAGGTGCTGGTTATCATTGGCTCCTCCGACTAGTAAGCAATGGATAGATTATGTTAATTCTTTACTCCAGCGGGAGAAACTCATGTACCAACATGGCAATGCTTATCGTACGTTCCAGCAGGTATGGCAGGGTTGGCTGGATACACCTGGGCTCACCCCTCCTCAATTGATAGTGGACCAACTTTTGCAGGTGTGATATTTTATATCAGGTGTGTGGGTTCACCCCTCCCCTTAGGGAAGATCATGTGCATTTCCCATGTTTTTTGATGAGACGTCTTTTTTGTTTGAAGGCATGTTTTGGGCTTTGTTCCTTTCTCCCATTTCTGTTTACATCTGGACGGGAAGGAATAAAAAGAAAAAAAGCAAGATATTGTCAAGAAAGCTTTGGATCCTTGTGGTCTCTGTTTCGTTTTGATTACTATTTCTGTTATTCTGTTTATTACGGGATCTGAGTATCCATGTTGTTCTATTTATGTGTAATGTTGCAGTAATGTCATTGTGGTTTCTGTAATTACTGTTCCATTTTCTCTATTATCTTGACAATAAAAGTTGTTTGGATTAAAAAAAATACATTGCCACAAGAGATAGTTTTTCAGAACTTACAGAAACCTTACATCTAATGTTGCTTTTCCTAGAAAGGTCACCTTGTTATATTTTACCAGTGTCACACATGAAAAACTCTGTAAATATGCATAGCTTTGAGGAAGGAGGTAATGCCTCTGACGTGTGTCAGCTTGCCAGTGTAGCTGGGTTACATGAACTCAAGTAATTCCCCTTTGCTGTGGCATCTTGTGGTTTTTGTGCAATTTTACTTTCCACTTCTGTGAGTATCCATTTGGCATCTATATTTTGTGAACAATAAATCGTTAGTAATGCACTAGGTGTTTGCGTCCTCCTGTTTAGTCTTTTTGTAATTAACTGCTTGCCGACCAGTCACTGTATAAAAACGGCCACAGGGTGGCACCCCTGCGCAAAATCACATTTTAAAACGCCATTTTGCAAAACAGGTAAGGGGAGCGCGGCCGATCGTGGCCGCGGGTGTCAATCACCAGGTCCCGGCCGGTCATTACCCACCGGGTCCTGAAGATTACCAGCAATCACTGACAGGGAGCACGGCTGCAGTGTTTACACTGAAGCTCTGCTCCCTGTCAGTTCCCAACACACTGATCCTGAGAGCAGAGTTTCTGTGAAGTACACACCCCCCACCCACTAGTAAAACACTACCCTCACACAGTTAACCCTTTGATTGAATTAAAATGTTAACCCCTTCCTCCCCAGTGCCATTAGTACAGTGTAGGTGTTTTTTTTTTGTGATCACTGTATTGGTGTCACTGGAGATGTCAGTGACCCCAAATCAGTTCCCCCCCCCAGTGTCAAAATGTCCGCCGCAGTCTCGCCATAAGTCGCTGATCACTGTCATAAATCGCTAATCACCGACATAAGTCGCTGATCGCTGCCATTATTATTATAAAAAAAAAAGTCCCAGTATCTTTCCTGCCATTTGTAGACTCTATAACTTTCACGTAAACCAATTAATTTACATGTATTGGGATTTTCTTTAGCAAAGATATGTCGTAGAATGCATTTTGGCCGAAATTTATGACAAAATTTGATTTTAAATTTTTTTACTGGACATGTTTTATAGCAAAAAGTCCAAAATATTGTTTTTTTTTTCTCAAAATTGTCAGCCTTTTTTTTTTACAGCGCAAAAAATAAAAAAATGCACAAGCGATCATATACCACTGAAAGAAAGCTCAATTCGTGGAAAAAAATTACGTAAATTTAATTTGGGTGCAGTGTTGCATGACTGCGCAATTGTCAGTTAAAGTAATGCAGCGTAGTAACACAAACCACTTCTGTAACCGCTTCCTGATCGCCCTATAGCAGACCATATATAGCATATATATATACATGATTTGCGCTCCCGTAGTTTTCACGCCCCTCCCAGAAAGCGTCAGATTGCCTGTCAGTACACCAGTCATCACATTTAACCCCTTGACTGCCAGGAACACGCTCATGCACAATAAACCTCCATTGCTAGTATAGTGTCTGAACGGATCAATATCTTTGATCAGATCAGCACTATACCAGCGTTCACATTAGTATAGCGTCCCCAAAAATGAAGCGTTAGAGGGATCAGCCCCGACACCTGCCAGCACCTGCGCTTAGCCCTATGCTTACTCCTCCTTCTCCCCCAGCAAGTGCAGTGTGAGTAGGTCCCTGTTACTTGATACATTGCACACAAAACCGCAGTGTTCGTAGAATCAGGCCTGATCTCTGTTAGCACTTGTCGGTAAATTTTGCCAGTACTAGTGCCGCACTACCTTTTGATGAACTGGCAAGCACCAGCGGCCTAGTACAGTGGTCGGCAAGCCGCGGCTCGCGAGCCACATGCGGCTCTTTACCCACTCTAATGCGGCTCTTCTGTGTGCCGGGCGCCTGCTCCCCTCCCTCCTCTCGGTCGGCCGCTCCCCTGCCTCCTCTCGGTTGGCAGCCCCAAAAGTCCGCGCGGACCTTTTAATCCGGCCCGCGGATGTGGCTGTCAGGATGTGTGTAGGCGGGGCAGCGTGCCGAACGTGGGAGGGGAGCTAGGCTCCTCTCACAGTCCGCCCTGAAGACCCGAACGGCGCGGGAAGACAGCGAGAGGAACGCAAAAGGTAAGTGAATTGACACGGGGGACTTGGCTTACTAGAAGGGGGGGGGAATAGTACTGTGGGGGATGAAATACTATATGAGGGATGAATTACTTTATGAGGGATGAATTACTATATGGGGGGATGAAATACTATATGAGGGATGAAATACTATATGAGGGATGAATTACTATATGGGGGATGAATTACTATATGGGGGATGAATTACTATATGAGGGATGAAATACTATATGAGGGATGAATTACTATATGGGGGATGAATTACTATATGGGGGATGAATTACTATATGAGGGATGAAATACTATATGAGGGATGAAATACTATATGGGGGGATGAAATACTATATGAGGGATGAAATACTATATGAGGGATGAAATACTATATGAGGGATGAATTACTATATGAGGGATGAAATACTATATGAGGGACTGGATGAAATACTATATGAGGGATGAAATACTATATGGGGGGATGAAATACTATATGAGGGATGAAATACTATATGAGGGATGAATTACTATATGAGGGATGAAATACTATATGGGGGGATGAAATACTATATGGGGGGATGAAATACTATATGAGGGATGAAATACTATATGAGGGATGAAATACTATATGAGGGATGAATTACTATATGAGGGATGAAATACTATATGAGGGATGAAATACTATACGGGGGATGAAATACTATACGAGGGATGAAATACTATACGGGGGATGAATTGCTATGGGGGATGAATTACTATATGGGGGATGAATTACTATGGGGGATGAATTACTATGGGGGATGAATTACTATATGGGGGATGAATTACTATGGGGGATGAATTACTATATGGAGGATGAATTACTATATGGGGGATGAATTACTATGGGGGATGAATTACTATGGGGGATGAATTACGATGGGGGATGAATTACTATATGGGGGATGAATTACTATGCGGGATGAATTACACTATGGGGGATGAATTACTATATGGGGGATGAATTACTATGGGGGATGAATTACTATATGGGAGATGTATTTTCAGTTTTAAAAATGTGGCTCTCAAAATAAATTTCAATCATGGTTTTGGCGAGATTTGGCTCAGTTGAAAAAAAAGGTTGCCCACCACTGGCCTAGTACATCTTGGTCTTTCACATATCTGTTAGATTGTAAGCTCCCAGGATCAGGGCCTTCCTAACCCTCTTGTATTGAACTGTATTGTCTCCCGTTATACTGTAAAGCGCTGAGCAAACTGCTGGCGCCATATAAATC